CAAGGTTGCTAGCCTTTGGTCAGGCTACCATCCTAACACAAAGCTGTCCACTTATCCTGGTGTGCGCTTTAAATTTTCATTTGAACAGTGAAAGTGTTCCGAGCTATCGTTCTGTAGCTACGCATCTCTCGTCAGTGTCTTTATTTGCAGACGTTTTTCTTTGGCGACCAAATCCTTCGTCTTCGTTTTGATAGATTACCCATGCTCCACTTTCTATGGCCCCAAGTTTATCCCTCCGCCGTTTATAGGGAGCTATGAACAAATGAAGACGTTCGCGTCTCAAGTATTTGCATGAATGAGGATGAAGGGTTGTCAAGCGCCGGATCAATTTGGTTATTGTTCTGAGCTTTCGGGTTCTTGCGTGAGTCCATTCTAAGAGGTAAACGTGTGCTCGGCAACCCTTCTTACCCATTCATCGAGAGTTATATACCTCGTTGATTCGCTGCTGAAAACTTAACGTCGCTAAAGGTCTGTCTTATTTCTTGGAGGGAGGGCGTTTTTGGGACTTCGGTCATGGAACTCGTCATTTCTACTGAGTAATTCTTGTGATATTTTTAACGCGCATCAATGATGTTTTGCATAATCTGCCGGAGAACTTTCTGGTTGTTTAGATGTTATGTTCCTAAGCTGCTCCATTGACTGCGGTGTCGTTAGGCGAATCCTATTTCTACTTTAACTGCCTTGCGAACTGGGAGCCTTGGTGATTACCGTTTGCTACTGCCTTCTACCTCGATTTATTTTGCTTAGCCTTATCGAGTTTCTGTTGTGGTGCATAAACTGTAAACAGTAACAGACATTTGCGTTAAATCAGTGAATACTGAGACCTCAAGTTTGGAGTACCAGAGTAGAAGAACATACGTGCCTACCAGTATTCCTTGTTAGTTTTCCCTCCAGGTTTGGATCTTTCGGCTTACCTACAGTTTCTGGACCCAACTGGGCCCAGGCTGCGGTGCTCACATGAAGTCGCTGCCTCACTGGCATTACCGTGTTCAAGGCTTAT